GGGCTCGGCTAGGCGTCTGCACGTCGTTCGTCGCGGTGGTCGTCGTCGGACTCGCCGCGACGTCGCCCGTGTACCGGCTCGTGCGTCTGGTGGACAGCCCCTTGAAGGGCGCGTGCCAAGTGCTCGTCGCGTTTCGCTCGCAAGGTGAACGTGAGACTGCCTGATGATGCTGCCGAGCTATGGAGGAGAATGTCAAGGCGTCTTTGCTTCAACCGGCTCGCGAATTGTTAGAGCACACGGACCAGTTCTGGTGCTTGAACGGAACTGTTTGTGGGTTTTACTCTAGTAGTATATTAGGAGCAGTATAGTATGTATTCAATGGGAGGTGGTACACTAGTACTCCGTCGACTGTTAGTGCCTCCCACCACTCGAACTCGCTCACCAGATTTGCCACGAAGTACTCAAGGTAGAGCATCGCCGGCGCGAGCCCTGGGCAGATGCGCCTCCCAGTACCTAACGACGACATCATCTTGAGCTCCCTGGTGCAGGTCAAGTCCGCGTCCTCGCCGGCCCTCCGGGCATGAACCGCCCCGGTGTGAACGACATCGGGTCTGACCATGCCGCCGGGTCGCGTCCGATCTTACCAACGAGGAAGTTCAAGGTCGTGGCTTGCTTTCCGGTTCCTGACCTTGGCTACGATTTCCAGGAAAGGCTCTTCTTGCTGTTGCCTAAGGGCAAGAAGGTGGCGCCACCATGACAGGGAACCTTGGAACTTCTGCATGGCGCGGATCGGAGACGATGTCCTTGCCGAAGCACATCTCGGCGAGGATGGAGTACACAGCGAAGTGAAGGCTCTCGCCAGCCGGGGCGCCGCTCTTGAGCGCCCCCACGAGGTCCCCGAGTACGCGAGCGCGGGCGTTGCCGAGCAGGAGGAAGCGGGAAGGGTGCAGCACGCCGGCGGCCACGTGGCTACGGATAGCACGCCAGTAGGGCCCGTCGAGGAATGCCGCGCTGTGCTGCAGCAGGGCACAGCGGCGCGCCATGGCGTGCCAGAGCGAGCACCGGTGCAGCAAGTTGTCGCAGTGTGGCCGCCGTGGCGTCAAGTTTGTGGCTGCAGCCAATGAGGAGGAAAGAGTGGTTTATTTTTTTATGAGAAAAATAAATGTGAAGGGTTAAATGAAAAATAAATGTCATGCAAGCATGCCACAAAAATTGTCCATGTGGCTGACATGGACCTGCGCCGCTTAACAAGTTTAGGAACCCAAAAATGCATTTTGAAAAATTTATGAACCTGCGTGGCACAAGCTTACAAATTCAAAGGCCGCTGGTGCATTTAACTCAAAAAAAATACTGCCGCTGCTAAAGATTTCGATAATGATACACCAGGAGTGTCCGTCCGGATGGACCGACCCATCTGCGCTGCGCACCACGCGCCTAAACCCACATCGCCCATTCGCGTCATGCGCCGCACGCCCCCGTCCCACTCTGTGCTCGCTAGGGCCGCCCCACTCCACCTCGCTCCCTCCCTCCCGTCGCACGCAGCCTGCTCCCACCCGTCGCGCGCCACCTGCCGGGCTAAGCAAAGGCCGGTGCTAGTGGCGCTGATGATGGTGGTGCTCGTGCGCCGCCGCTAGTGCTGGTGCGGGTGGCGCTTGTGCGCCGCTGCTCGCCACCGGCTCCCACCCCAACGCCTAGAATCGACCGGCCCCGACCTTCCCTATGTTGCAAAATGCATGTTTGAAGTGTATCAGATGTTTCATACGGATATTGCAATGATAGTTTTCGGATGTTGCACATGTTGCATTGGTTATACACGTATGTTGCAAGAGTTTGTTCAAAATATTTTATCTGTTTCAGACGCGTGTTGCAAGTGTTTTATCTGGATGTTGCATATGTTGCAATGGCTATGTTGCAAATGTATATTCTAAATGTTTCATCTAAGTGATGCAAAAATAGATCTGAATGTAGGGTTGTTGAGCACGGAAGAGAGAGCTAGCGCGGGAGCCATGGCGGTATCAATGTGCGGAGGAGGTGTAGGTCGCGCAGTATGAGTGTGGAAGGGGGTCATCCGAGCAGCGTGGAAGAGGTGAGCGCAAAGCGGTGTGGAAGAGGCGAGCGAGGAGCCGGTATGGAAGAGACAGGGCGAGTCGTCTGGACAGCATGGGCAGCGGAGCGGAAGGGAGCGGTATAAGGCTGTGTTCGGCTGCTCGTATAAGCCGGCTTAAGCCATAGTACAGTATTTTTCTCTCCTAACAAATCAGTCGTATAAATCAGCACAAGCGGCTTATAGACCAGCCAAACAAGGCCTAAACACGAGCGCATGAAGCGGAGTTGGCGCGGCCAGCAGAGCTAGCACGTGAATCTAAGAGACCATGGCCGAGAAGGTGCGGGCGTCCTGAAGGGTGCAACCATTCTGACGTCGAGGCGCTAGTCTTTATGGAAAGATTTACTTAACCCATGACGCACTTCTTAAACCGCTCCAAAATACTCTTAAACCACCTCCTGCCACAAGATCACACATTGAACGCATATGTAGATAGCCACAATTGTGTGTCAGCTACCCGTTGTCTGCTAGTTTTTCAAACTTGCTGGTGCACATATAGAAAGCTCTCATGTGACATGCTCCGTTGCTCCCTGGATTACAACAGTAGCAGACCCAAATACTTCTGTTGGCATTCCTTGAACATACTGGATGTAATCATGGCCCCTTCCATATCTGGAGGATTACCTATCAAGTCTAAACAATTCAAAGTAACTGACCCCCACTAAGCATATATATTAGAAAAATGACCCTCACATATGTATGAATTCATCATTACAGTATATATATATGATCAATAGAATTTCATTATGATTGCAATTCTAATTTCTATAAAACAAATCAAATAAAGGCAGAGGGTGGTATCAGACACCAAGCAATGACAGTATTTCATATATCACTTAAATAAGAAATGGTGGCTCAGAGATCTGTTATGAAGATGGTGATATATGTTTTTTGTTGATATACAGCAGTGAGCTACGTATATGTTTACACCAAAATTTAGAAGAAGAGTCGTAGGGACTCGAAAGCTCTCAAAATCATGTCATCAAGGAATCAATTGCGTACAGATCGGAACCAACTGATTCGGATGCGAAAACTAGAATCGGCTTTCTTCAGATAGCGCCAGCAGATAACGACAAAGGCTATGATTCGGCGCCAAGACGAAACATGCTGGACTCTACGAAAAGAAAAAGATTAGAATCCAAGTTATCTTAAATTAAGAATATTTTCTTTAGGGTCAAAAATTGTGATGAGTCGTGCTTAGACAGGAGTCGTGCGCAGGTCCCGGGTATAAATATCAAGCCCCGGCTATTGTAAAGGATCATCAATCAATCCAATATACAAGTTATTTACTTTTTTCAGGCTCCGGCCACCCCTTAGAGTAGGAGTAGAGTAGATCTCGGCGAGTTCTTCAGCAAGTATGGCTGCATCGATCCGGTCGACCTCCACTACTTGTTGTAAGTACCGTCATGGCTTATATCTCTGTTCGTACGGCTGCATCGATCCGGTCGACCTTCACTGCGACTCTAGTATAAGTTAGTTATCGATTCTTGCCTAGTTCAAAGTATGGTTGCATCGATCCGATCGACCCCCACTGCATGAACTAGATCAAGGTCAAGTTATCGGCTCTACCTTAGAATGGCAGTCTTTGATAGATTCATTAAGTTACCGATATTGTTTATTGCTTTTATTATTAATCTAATTACAGCAATATCACTCTGCCCGATTAGGATTGATCTAGATCGGCCTTATATCTTGTTTAGCCCATCGTTTGCTAATCTGAATTATCTAATCTACATCTTAAATGATAAGTTATGTTTATGTCAATCATGATCGTGCATAGCGTGCGGTTAAGGCGTGTTGCGTCTTGAGTAGATTTATTGGCTAGTGAGAACCGTTCCATGGTCCGTTATCACGGCCTATGTGATTCTGGCTCATACCCCACTGTTAGCATCGTGGAGTAGGGATCGTTATTTAATATATCTATTTCTGATAATGCATAACTTTAGCTATGCGCTATGTCTGAATCGGTTGTTTTAGCCGATATCGAGTGCTTCCACGAATAGTTCGCATCACAAGACACGTTGAAGTAAAGATAGGTTAAAAGCTATGTTAGCCCCATGATCTTATTATTGTATTACGGCCTGCATAATTCTGTCTCATACCCTACTGATATTAGTAATGAGTTAGAATCGTCGAGTCTATTGTTATTTCTACGGCCTGCATGATTCTGCCTCATGCCCCACTGGTCATAATGATAGATAAGATCTAACATGTTCATTAGATTTATCTTTATTAAACGGTTAAATGGTGTTGAATTGTTTCTTTATATAAAAAAGGGTTCGGTTACTTATAATCATTGGCTCAGCACAAACCGATCATTTTTTACATCTTATTGCCATTGATTAATATCTGTTCGATTAATGATATTTGCCCTGAATGATAACCGATTCTTCTTACACAACCCAATGAGCTTTAATCGATTTATTCTCATGAACATGTTGGAATCGACTATTTAGTCGATCTTCTTTCATATCGGCTTTTATAGCCGCACATTCGGAACTGTCTGGTAACACCGACAAGTTCCGCCCTTAATTACTGATGAACTTTCTCTCCTTGTCAATTGCAGGGTCAAATTGACTGACACGTCTCGGGAGGATTGCGCAGGATCGACCATCCCTGCGCTGAAGCTAGGCGGATCTGCTCCATCGAGCGGACCCTTCCGGCTTGCTGTGTGTGTCCTCGGCACGGGATGAAAATTCTATGTCAACAGTATATAACAAGCAAACAGGCTATAACACATACATCAGAATGCTATAAGATGTAAAGCATATATGAGTTACTAAGTAAAGATACACACTAATCTTTCCAATCTATCTGGATTTCTGTATATTGAAGCAAACCTGGCCCACTTCTGATCACCAGGCATATTTGCTTCAAGTTTCAGAAGGTACAACTAAATCAACCTTTCTTCTGAAGTATAAAGTATAATAAAGCGATCCTTTATGTTTGGTACATATCATTTCTTGACTAACTGAACTGCAACATTATTTTTTCCAGTCTCTACATAAGAAACCAGTGTAGTATGCGAGGGCATAATAGGCTCATTATTTCTGTATTCAATAAAACCATTTGTCTGTAGGCCTTCCAATGCTCCAGGTCTCCCATAACAAGTGGCCAAATGGATGCAAGTAGATGTGTCTGGCTTGAGACCCAGATCACGCATCCGCATGAATAAACCGAAAGCTTTTTCCACCTTCCCACAGGAAGCATAGACCTTGAAGCAAACATTATATGCACATGCATCCATTGTCCACTGTGGCATTAACATTTTCTCGCAAATCTCTAATGCAGCAGCATGCATGCCAGCTATGGAGAACAAGAATGCAACAACAGCTTGCTTGGCAGACTTCTTGCCATCATTATATACTGATTCTAGCTGTAAAACTTCTTTTGTTGAAACATGACCATTTTTCAGTAGAGAAAATATCATTCCAAATGTTGACGCATCTGGTGGGATGTTAGCCAATACCATTTGATGCACTAACTCTGCACAGTCTCTAAGGTTGCCCTTAGCCCCATAACATGCCATAACAGCATTGCATGAAGCACAATCAAATAGTAAGCCTGACTTTTGTAATTTGTGTGTAATCCTAATTGACTCACTAAGCAAGCCCATGCTCTTGTAGAGATATGCCATGGTAGTGTATGAAACAGCATCAGCACGACTATTTCTTCTTAAGCTGTCAAAGATTTCTTTTGCCTCAGTGACCATCTCAAGTTTTGCATAAAGGTTTAGCATGGCATTGGAGGCAATGATGTCAGGGCCGCCATCCATGTCATTCATCCTTGAATACAAATCCTGTGCTTCCTTCCAGGAATTAAATTTGCTGTAGGCTTTTATAAGAGATGTTAGGACAATATGGTTCGGAGAGATTCCAGATTGTTCCAACAGGTTACTATAGTGAAGTGCTTCCTCAACATTCCCTGTCTCTGCAAACATGTCAATCAAAACTCCATAAACAACAACATTCGGCTCAACACCTGAGGTCTTCATTTCATTGAACAGATCTATGGCCTCTGGTACCAAGCAATGGCGAGAATAACTTCTAATGACGGCACAGTATGTCTCACATTTTGGTTCAAATCCTGCATCTTTCATTTTACCTAACAGCTTCTTAGCTCTGTGCGGAAATCCACCAACAGAAAACATTTGAATCAAAGAATTATATGTGCACTCATCTGATGAAACACCAGATTCCTCCATGCTCTCAAGCAGAGAAGAGACTCTGTCATACTGCTTTGCCTGACCATAAGCCTTTATCATCACATTATATTCCACAATGTCCTTCTCATTCTCAACTCCTCTTTCAGAGCAGAAGATATGCTCAGCTTCTTCCCACAGACCCTTCTCTGCAAAAGCATCCATGATCGCACTAAAGTTCTTGGATGAGACCCCGTTACCTCGGCAATGCCTCTCAAAGAATGCAGTCGCCTCATCAAGCAATCCTAGATCAACATACATCTTCATGACAATAGGCAGGGACTGCTCATGAACAAAACTGCCGGAATTGAGAACCCCTTCAATCACATCTTCTGCTTCGCGTGCCATCTTCCTCTCACATAGCACCTGCAGCAAAATCCTATAGCTCACAGCATCAGGATGTAAGCCTGCCTTCCCGATTTGACAGTAGTACTTCAGAACTCTCTCTAAATCCCCAATTGATGCAAACACAGTCATCATTACATTGTATGTCTTAGTATCAGGCTTGACACCCCTAACCACCATGCTAGCAAACAGCACCTCTGCCTGCGCTGAATTGCCAGATAACCCAAATATGTTGATTAGTGTATTGAACGTATATGTATCTGGCATAACCCCATGAGCAGGCATGTCCAGAAACATGTCCAGGGCGTTCTTCAGCCTCCCAGCTTTCCCATAGAGATCAATCAACGTGTTATATGTCACCACAAGCTTCGGCTTCCTAGGACGCTCCTGTCCCTCCATGGCTGGTGCACCACCACCACCAGCAAATTTGTCGTCACAGATGTCAGCAAGCAAGAACTGCATAGGACCGTCCGAATCAACCGTGATGCAGTCAAGATCAACGAAATCGACCTCGAACCTGCCGTCGCACCAATTGTAGAAGAGAGCGAGCGCGTCGTCGTAGCGGCCCTCGTCCTTGAGGATGCGGACGAAGGTGTTCATGGACACCTCATCAGGCGCAACGCCCCGGGCCCGCATGTGGCGGAGCAGCAGGAGGGCCCCCCGCGCCAACCCGGCCTTGGCGAGCGCGTCGGCGAGGGCTGCGTATGCCGGGTTGGAGGGCGGGAGGACCATCCCGAGCCAGGCGCGGTGGAGCACGTCCCACCGGCGCGCGCGAGCTAGGTGCCGCAGGAGGACGGCGTCGTGGACGGGGTTGGGGACGTACCCGGAGAGCGCGCGCAGGCGGTTGAAGAGGTCCCGGGCGCGGCGCCAGCAGCGCTGCCGCGAGAGGAGGGAGGTCTGCTGCCGCGGGGACATGGAGGACAGGGCCTCGTCGGAGGGCTGGAGGGCGGAGGAGGCGGGGCTGGGGAAGGGGCTGGTGGGGGTGCTGGAGGAAGAGAGAGAAGGTGGCGGGGCTAGGCGGGGGAGGTGGATATGGGAGGCGGCGGGGGGAGGAGGAGTGAAGGAACTGGAGCGGGAGCCGACGATCGGCGCGCCCGCTCCGGTGACGGCGGCACCGCCGCCGGCGCCGGCGGCCGGAGGGCAGGGGGCAGAGGGAATCATGGGCGAGTCGGGGGAAGGAGACAAGTGACAAGAGGTTTTAAGGCCAGTGGGGGCCACTGCTCAGACTGAGTAAGCCGACGAGCAGACCTCGTCGCCGCATGGTTAATCGTTCTGGGCTGAATGCGACACATTTTTAGGCCCATGCTTTGATCATTGACTTTTTTTTTGTCTCCATAACACCCCATTTTACTGGGCCAGAACTGGAGGGCCCAAGAGGAAAGTTTGTGCCTACGCTCCGTGATCATTAATTCGGTTTTTGCAAAAATAAATGCACAAATGAAAATTTTGCAGAAATGTACACTGACCAAGAGGGCGAGATGTACACTTCATCTTTTCAAACGACGAGATATAGATTTCAATTTCTATATGAGCTGAATGGAGATAAAGTTTCTACGAAAAGTGCAGATTTGATTATCACAATTTCGTAGTCCATCACCCCTTTGTCCTTGTTTATAACCATCTTGGTGCCGAAGAAAATAGATATCAAGCTCTCTATTTTTTATATAAATTTTATCTTCATCCAAGCTCTCATGGAGAAGTTATCACCATTTGAAATGGGGAAATTTATATCTAGACATTTCAGTTGCATCTCAATATGCTATGAACAATCAGATCTGCCCACATTCATGTTAGTATGTTTAGGGGGTGGGTTTTTTCAAATTTCACGCATTTTATCAAGAGGATTTGTTAGTGTTGCAACGCATCAAAATGACATGTAAAACACTAGAGGACTCTGGCGACCAACACAACGCCCAACAAGACGGCAAACACAGCTAAGCGCAGGACACTGCGGAGGAACACCATAGCACTACAAATCCCTGGAACTAGAAGCAACTACGCAAGGTAAACTTCAGACGCTAGGGCAACTGATGCACACCAGGTAGTATGAGTTCCAAAAGCAATTCATAAACTATGGTACTTCAAGCAGCGGACTGACAACTTGCGGCACAAAATTGACAGTCCACAAGGTATTCACAATCGAGAGAGAGACCAAAAGAACCATATCTAGCCATTTTACAGTGAAGTGCTAATGCTAATGTTGCACATCTTCTCCAGTAAATCCAGACTATACAGGTCCAACATGTTGCCTAGTCCCTTTGAAGCACTAAGAAATCCCTTGCAAGAATTCGCCCCACACAAAAATTGCCTTGGAGTACTGCCGAAGACGTCCAACCTGATGCTCGGTGCCACCGTCATTTTTTTGAAGAAACTAAAGAACTGCGTTTGTGGAGGATGGTGTGACACCACTGCCAGAATCACCTGTTCCAACAAGTAATCAGAGGAAGGTAAGTACATGTGTTACAACTACGGCCCGTAGGTAGTTGCTTAGTGTATTGGCTTAGTGTATTGGCAGAGAGTTTATCAAGATGAACTGTGCTGCTGGATCCTAATATGCAGAGTCATTGTCCCAGCAACTTACTGCATGCTATCAGCTGAATTGCCATCATAATCCATAAACATCAGTCATCTGGAACCTAATGTGTCTAATCGTTGTCCATCTTTGACGCGGTTGATTTGTCTGTTAGTGTTGCTGCTGTTTCTTATCACATAATGCATATGCTCAGGTGCAGCTACAACAAGTTTGCTTGGCATAGTGTTCACTTTTAATTTATATAACTGTTTTGTTTTACTATTCCAGATGTACTGAATATTGAGAAGAACCTTTGCAAAGCCAGAAATGTAGATATTTTACCCACAAAAAAAATAAATATATATATTTTATACAAAACTATGATTTGGGGCACCTTTTTCTTTTTCTATACTTATTGTGACCTTGCTTAAATGCTCCCCGTCCACAATAACTACCTCAATTCATGTAGGTTAGCAAGATTCAGGTGAAAAGATCCTAATCAATGAGATTTACCATTTGTTGAACTTCCAGTACTTGGCTGAGAACTATTATCACATACTGAAGGATCAGCATGACTGACAGAACCTCCATGTACTTCAACATGGCCAACCATGGACTGCTCTCTTATCTCAGAGGCTTCTTTCTCTAGAAATTTGCTTTCGTCCACAGAACTCAAACTAGGTCCAGCTACCTCACTGGAAGAAGCCTCCATTCTTGATGGTGAAACCCCTTCTTCGATGCTTGCTTCAGCATCAGTACGAGCATGACCTGAAATTTGATTCTGAACTTCAGGAAAAAAGAATGACAGCGTTATGTCACGATTAGAACTGATTAATTCATTGTAGTCTTTGGTTACCATCTTTCAAGACAGGTCCATCAATTACTAAACCAATAGGTGCGGGCCTCTCGCTTCCCGAAGGACTTGAATCGTATAAAGGATCCAGAACGTGGGTATCATCAATGACGACCACTTCCTTGGCTAGAAAGTAGGAAAACACTTATAAAATGTGGGATTCATATACAAATCGCTAGCTGAAAAAGGATATATTACTCTATGGTACCTGGTGGTTCAACGTCATTCACTTCAAAAGGATCATCAGTGGTTTCGGTTGATGACGACGTCAGCTCGAGATCATTTGAATGTGGGGACATCTGATTCAATCCATTGCTTGTCATATCTATTTCTTGATGGTGTTGCATGACACTAGGATCCTCTAGCAATGTATTCTGAGAAAAACTGAATTTTTCACTCTGTTGTGCTTCCTCCCAATCATTTATATGTTCACCAGACAGTGATATGTCATCATCAGAGGAATCACTAATTAATACAGGTGGCTCCATGTCAAGGGCAAGAGAAACCTCCCTTACATGCCGAGCTATATGTGCATGTTCCTCCGTTTGAGTGAAAGAAGATTGTTGTCCTTGGTTTGAGCAATCCTCCAGAACATCCTTCTGGCTTTCTTGGTCGGCAACTGAAGAAGTACTAGCCGAGTCTTGAGCAGAACTGGCCTTGGAGTTGCTCTTTTCACTAGTTTCTCCTTCAAGAACTGGATCTGTCATTTCCTCGTTAGCCATTTTTTCTGTCATGAAGTATGGTCTGAATCGGGAAGGCTGCGTATCTTGCAAAAATTCACTAAGGAATGGTGCTCCTTCAGTGAAGCTCTCATGCCTCCTCAACAGTGCACTCCTCTGTAGATGACATGCTACAGGAATAGGTTCAGCATGGCTTGAGTTGGCTCCTCCATTGGAGCTGCTCTCATTTGCTTGCTCACTTGGTAGATCAAATGGGTTACCTGTTTCCAACAACGCAGATGGAGCAGAATCTGGGAAGTTATCTTCATTGTAAGGAAGATCGAAAGGATTTTTCCTAGGAGCGAAAACAGCAGGAATTTGAACATTAAACTTTGATAGTTCTTCAATAGTGGGTAAGGAATCAGTGCTACCAAATTCGATCAAGTTCCTGTCTGCGTATTTCCTTGCCCGACGCCTAGCAATTAGGGTCTCCAACCTTTGGTTACGCTCAATCTCCAAGCACCCGATTTTCAGTATGTTCTTCTGGTCGTCAGCAGTCCATGCTACAACTTTAGCATGCTGTTTCCCCTTGTGTACATTGCCATCATTGCCCTGTTGGTTTTCCGCTCCATCTTCAGTGCTGCTGTCATTGGAGTCACCATCTTGAGAGGACTGTGATGAACTGCTGCCCGACCCAAGATGACGAAATGCGTGGAGCATTGGAGCAGTATCTATCTGAACCACCTGACTCACTTGATCCTGGTTCCGAAGAACAAGCAACACCATGAGATCGCTTTCTAATTTTCTTAACCCTGTTTTTGTGCTTCGCCACTCTCTCTTCACCGGACGGAATTGTAGGAAGAGGTACACCCCTAAGAGATTTGCTACTATCATGGATATCCGAACTCCGAGCATTCTCAATTTTTTTGTAGACATCTTTTTCAGGATTGTTCGGTTCACCGTACGCCAGGATGATTCCAAGAAAGACGCCAGTGATTAGGAAGATAGGTGATGTGGTCACGATGAGGGTGAACCAGCCAAAGAAGTACTTGTACAACACAAGTAGGAAAATCAGTAAGCAGAGAGCTGAAGGATGGCGTCGAAAGAATCTGCCTGTGGACCTCAGTGGTGCCATTTCCCTCAAAATATTTCTCCATTTCATTGCAGGGTTTCCACGCTCTGCAATGTGTAAGAAATGACCTTCTATGTTAGCATCTGAAAAGATTTATAAAGCACAACAAGAAACAGTTATTTTGTGATTGTAAATCTCAGATGTTGCACGTTTGCACAAGCAAACTAATAAATAGTCACACTAGTATTTATGTGATTACTGCTTTGCACTCAAACAATGATTACAGTTCTTCTGAACAGTAAAGCAATTGCATTCCTGTTCCAACTCAATCTTCATCGGTTGTATATTTATTTGCACACTTCGGTTTACATACCAAAATTTCTGATTTGAACTGAACCCATTCAAACGGTGTCATGTGAATGAACTTAAAAGCTCCCAATTATCCTTTTTTCCTTTTTTATTATTTTTTTAAAGTACCATCAGTACCCAATGTAATTAGGCTTATTTTCAAAAAAAAATATACATTGACATTAGGGTGTGCATGCGTGTTGAGCATCTGTGTCTGTGCTTAATTAGAAAAGAAAAAGTAATACTACATCAACAGAACGAAACTCCATGCACGCTAAAAGGAAACACCATGGGGAAGCCATCTAAAATATACTGCTTTTACGCCCTAGTTTCCAAATAACCTGATCCCCAAAGAATCACATTGCAGCTGGTTACACAACCGATTTCTCACATTACCAATGTATTACCGATTTGTGCCGCCCCGCTCGGATTGAAAGCTTCCATCAGGAATGGCCACATTTCTCCGTGCAA